AGATAAAGTCAGCCACCCATCTGCAAAGCTTTTCTGGGAGGCCGTAGGATGGAAGTTTGCTTAAGAGGGCAGCGTGCCACAGCTGATCGAACGCTTTCGTGATGTCAAGAGCAACGACATGAGCCTCACCATGAGACTGGATGAGTTTACTCCACAGTTGCGTGACGTAAGCTAGGAGGTCCCCTGTGGATCGTTGGTGCCGGAAACCGTACTGCCTGTCGCTAATCAAGCTGTGACGTTCGAGGTAGTCCAGAAGCTCGCGATTTATGCACCTCTCCATCACTTTACTTATAACAGAAAGCAGAGCTATAGGCCTGTAGCTGTAAGGGTCGGTTTTAGATCCTTTTTTTGGGATGGGCTGTACATGAGCAAATTTCCAGTTTTCTGGGAAGGTGCCGGATTCATAAGATATCTGGAAGAGACGCGAAAGAACTGGAGCAAGCTCCGCTGCACATCTCTTCAGTACAATGGCAGGAATCAAGTCCGGACCAGAAGCCTTGTTGATGTCGAGCGACAAGAGCACTCGTCTTACGGTCTTATGCCTGAATGTTACCTCCCGCATAGTGTGGGGAACCCTTTGAATTGACGGCACTTGGGCGTTGGTGGGGACGTCCATGGTGGAGTTGGCAGCAAAGATCTTGGCTAGCACTTCCGCCTTGGCCTTTGAGTCGAATACAATAGTTCCATCCTGACACGTAAGTGGTGGAAGGCTACTGTGTGAGAAGTTCTTTTCAATCTGCTTGGCCAGCGTCCAATGTCGACTTAAGGTTGACCAACTTTGTATTACTCAATGATCTTAGAAATTTCTGGACGACGCGGCATGGTCTTAAAATCACTCAACTTATTCCACAATACTTGATGAACACAAACTGATCCTCTTCTGACACGAAACTGTACTAAACTAATGTTGAAAAGAATTTGTCTACATATTTTTGTCCCTCATAAAAAAGCGCTTATATTCAGACTTGTGTTCATTGCAGATAATGTAAAAACAAGGAATTTAGTTTTTCTACTAATAACGCATTTGTTTATGGAGCAATGAAGTATGAATTCGTTTTCTAAAGGTATTTAGGTAAATATTCATGTTTGTCTATATACTTTTGTCTATTACTGTATATGCCACAAATTATTATAATCGGATAAGCATACGTAGGTGTTTCCCTTTTTTTGTCACTCAGGATACAATACAGGGTTATCCAAATTAAGTGTCCACCATTAGTAACTTTGTTATTAGTGAAAATACAAAGTTGTTTGAATTAGCAAACTAGTAGCATTTTTAACGCTGGTAAAAATGAGAAATAAAAAAAAACAATTGAGAGTCGTTATTTTGATTTTTTTCAGTAAAATAACATTTTTTTAAATGGAAACCCCTGTATATTATATTTTTTTCTGTTAAAGCATCAAATTTTAAACAAAAAAGCTTACAATAACTTTTCTCCTAGGTTACAAATTGTTGAAGTTATGGCCTCCAATCTGAAACAATTAAATTGTATCGACAAACTTTATTTTCAACATCAACTTATAATCTTACAAAATACAATAACAATTTTTTTTAAAGAAGATGCTCGAAAACACCACCTTGTTCTTCAATACATTTTTGGGCACGTTTTTCAACTGCTCGAACTGTCTTAAGTATGGTCCTACCATCTATCTGGGTTATCTTTTCCCTAACTGCAGTCTTTAACGCGTCAAGGTTATCGTACCTTCGCTTGTAAATTTGGTTCTTTAAGTAACCCCACAAGAAGTAATCAAGTGGGTTTAGATCTGGTGATCTGGGAGGCCACTGTATTGGGCCATTTGTTCCTATCCACTGATCATTAAAAGTAGTACTTAGAAAATGATAAGTACCTCTGGAGTTGTGGGCAGGTGCGCCATCTTGCTGAAAATGCAGATGATGTCTACTTATAAGATCCAATTCGTCTAAGAAATTAGTCAGAATTTCTGACATAAATTCCACATATCTTTCACCAGTTAGGGTTCCCTCATAAAAGAACGGGCCAACAATTTTTGAACCAATTATACCGCACCAAACGTTGAAACTGAAACGGACTTGTGGGCCTCTTGGATGTACTAACAAAAGATTTTCTCTTGACCAATAATGGTGGTTTTTTCTATTAAACATTCCAGAATTTGAAAAATTTGATTCATCTGTCCATAAAAGGTAACGAAAGTTATTTACATTTTGGCGACAGAAGCTAAGATACCAATGGCAAAAAACAAGTCTTCTCTCTGGATCCCCTGCCAAAAGCGTTTGAACTGGTCGGTACTTATACGGAATAAATTTGTATTTTTTTAAAATCCTTTGAACAGTACCATAACTGAAATTAGAGTCCTTGAGAATATCTGCTATTGAATTCTCACGATAAGCTTCAAAATATCTAATAACTGCAATTTCCGTGGCCTCGCTTATTATGAATTCTTTTTTTGCCCTTGTTTTAGCAAAAACATTTTCGTTGCCCCTAAATTTTCGATAAAGTCTCAGAAAATATCGTTCATACGGTTGAATGCGAGCGGGATATAATTCACTGTAGTATTCTCTTGCTCTCAAGGAGGATTTTCTGCACACTAAATAGCATTCTAACATATCACACTTTTCTTCATGGGAGAACATTTTTCTTTAAATTAATGACACAATAAAGCTTATAAACAAGTATTTACACTAATGTTTGACATTATTTGATTTTATCATTGTTTTCCAAAGCCTTCTAGTTGCGAGTATGTCCAGTTTAACAATTTGTCGCTTATCTTAATGCTGTCAAATCGCGAACGCCATGTTGTTTTCATAGCCGTCTTAATATTATAATACTGCAAATAATTAAAAATATTTATCGTTATTTTGACTTTATTTTTGACTTTAGCGGAAAAGTCATTATGAACTTTTTTGTTTAAAATTTGATGCTTTAACAGAAAAAACTATAATATACAGGGGTTTCCATTTAAAAAAATGTTATTTTACTGAAAAAAATCAAAATAACGACTCTCAATTGTTTTTTTTTATTTCTCATTTTTACCAGCGTTAAAAATGCTACTAGTTTGCTAATTCAAACAACTTTGTATTTTCACTAATAACAAAGTTACTAATGGTGGACACTTAATTTGGATAACCCTGTAGAGGCACGAATTACCTCTTAGAAAATTTCGTTAATTATAACGAAAATTACATTCATTTCAAACAATGGTACGACAGTTTTGGACAACCATTTCCCAAATCAGTGGATCTACAGGCGTGGCTCCATCGAATGGTCGCCGAGATCTCCGGAGCTAAGTCCTTTAGATTACTTTCTTTCTGGGAATTTGAAAAGTTTTTAGTACGAAGCCAGATTCCATTCAAGATCTTCGTCAGCGGATTACGGCTGAATGTAGACAAATAAATCAATACATGCTTGAAAATGTGAGGAAAATCTTTATTATTGCGTAGAGGTAAATGGACACCACTTCAGCACTTATTACCACATTAAACTACCTCTTTATAGCAAATTAATTTTTACTTTGATGTGCGTGTAAACTGTAAGTTGTATTTTGTTTTTTAATACTTGGAGACTTGTTTTTAATTTTAAAGTAAAGTCTCGTTACTATGGGAACTATATTGATTATTATTTTTATGGTATAATCCCCTAGAAATCGAAATTGACTTGCCCGAGCATCCAGGAGAGACACAAATGGAGGAGGTGCGGCCTTTTCGTTGGGCAACCCTTATAACGGGTGATTTTTAAGAGGTATAGGATTTGATTTTCAAAAAAAACACAAGAAATTTGAAAAAACGATTGAATCTTTATTTGAGTCGATATTATTTAATGTTTAAACATTATTTCATGTAAATGTTGGCCGCGGCTCCGTTTTAGATGGCCCATGCGCAAGGTCCAATTTTGGCACACTCTCTCCAACATATCGGCCGGTATCTCACGAATAAATGCTTCGATATTGGCTTCCAGTGCGTCAATCGTTGCTGGTTTATCCCTGTAGACATTAGCCTTAACATGGCCCCACAAGAAATAGTCCAATGGCGTTAAATCACACGTTAGATAAACTGTTCACCGAACTGGCCTCCCAATAGGGCCATTGTTTCGTGTGCGTGTGGCATGTGGCACCGTCTTGTTGAAACCACATGTCAGCCAAGTCCAGCTCTTCCATTTTGGGCAAAAAAAAGTTTGTTATCATCGCACGGTAGCGCTCGCCATTCACAGTTACGTTCCGGCCATTGTCGTCTTTGAAGAAGTACGGCCCGATGATGCCACCGGCCCATAATCCACACCAAACAGTGATTTTTTCGGGATGCATTGGTAGCTCTTGCAATGCTTCTGGCAGGTCTTCACTCCAGATGCGGCAATTTTGCTTGTTAACGTACCCATTCAACCAGAAATGAGCTTCGTCGCTGAACACAATTTTTCGATAAAAATGTGGATCTTCCTCCAACTTTGCCAGCGCCCATTCACCAAATTGCAAACGTTGTGGGACGTCGTGTGGCTTCAATTCTTGCACCAACTGTATCTTATAAGGTTTTACACCCAAATCCTGTCGCAAAATTTGCCCAATTGCTGCGAACGGCGGAGAATCGACATTTCACGGTAATCACTAGCACTGGCGGATACAGCCGCAATATTTTCTTCAGTCCTCACTCTACGTCTGCGTGTCGGTGGTTTAATGTCCAATAATGTAAACTGGGTTCGAAATTTAGTCACAAGCTTCCGAATAGCTCCCTCAGTAGGCCGACCAAATTGCCCATAAATTGGAAGCAGTGCTCGATGAAACCGAGCATGAATTTTCATAGTAAAATTCAATAATTTGCAAGCGTTGTTCGTTCGTAAGTCGATTCATGGTTAAATTATAGACCAAACTGAACAAGTTTGACAATGACACAAGACACGATTCACGCGTCATCTGTCAAAAACAGTGTTGCCAAAAAGATACTAGCAAAAAAATCACCCATTATACTAAATTATAATGTTCCAAATGGCTATGTTAGAACGTAACAAAAAATAAGATTACAAAACTGATCTTACGGCAATCATGAATCGCTGGGGTGCAAGATGTCCAGGTTCTCCAGAGTACGGAAATCCCGATGGCGTGAGGATCAGCAAGGCCAACGATATCCAGAATAATCCGACCAAGCAGCTAAATATTCGTTCTACTCCCCTCACCAGGAGTACCAAAGGTACGACGAAACTAAACAGCATGGAAAACAGAGAGCTGACCTGTTAAAGAAGCATTATATTAAAAATTCACTCTGATTTGAATACAGTGTTCAGCACGGGAATCTCCGATACTTTCAAATCGTAAAAGTGTCATTTGTAAAATACTGTCTACCCATGTTTTAGATTATGCAATACAAAAACTTGACCCAAAAGGTTTCTTTGGAACACGGATGAGTCTATGACAAAATTGAACAAAAAATCACTTATATTGAATTGAACAAAGAGTACCTCAGTTATTCTACTAGAGGGAGTATAGACTTTCATTAACAAAATTGTACTAGCAATACAGGGTGACTTTGAAGTTGAGTCATTAATTTTCAGATAATGATTGTAGAAGGAAGATAAACCAAAATATGTGTGTAAAAATAAAAAAAAATAAAAAAAATTTTTACCTTGTTTTATAAAGTATCCTCCCGACAAGTATTTCAGTGCGGACCTGTATTTGATCGTGAGGTCCCTTGTGAGGTCTTAAGTCACCTGATTCACGAGCCCGTTGTACTACATTAACAAAGGCACGAGGGGTTGGTTGCACTCGATTGGGAAACCGATCCGCATAAACATGTGCCATTTTTTATTTCGTTTGAGCCATGCAACAGACACTACTATTCACTGACACTGACTGTATACAAATGAATGAAATAATTGTAAAAACATCGTTCCAAATTCTTTCGCTTTTTTGTTTCCGATGCGATGAACTGATACGGCGGATTATATCCGTTGTCGCCAAACACGAGCACATAATATTATTATTGAGACAGGGCGGTACTCAAACTTCCAAAGGGCTATAACTTTGTTACTTTAATTTTACCAGGAAAATGGTAAAGGAAAAAAACATTTCTTTTGATCAGATCTACTCACTGTTAAAATAAATGACTCAACTTCGAAGTCACCCTGTATAACAAACAAATCTGTATTTTAAAAAAGATTGTACGAATTTAATAAATTAAGTAATGAGATCAAGATATTTGCCAGTTTAAAAATATACGAGGATTGTTTCAAAAACAAGGTTCCAAAGGCTGTAAGTTTGCCGCGCGTGACCCTAGGCGAAATCTGGCAACACCGTTGTGATGGTCGACTCGCCAACCACTGATCCCAACAAGAAGCGCCTACTGACGATGCTCAGTACAGGTCCAAGCGCGGATCCAGGAGGGGGGTCACGGGTGTCATGTTGCGAATAACATAAATTACTGCCATTATTGACAAATAAAATACGGCAATGGAAACTTTGAAAGTTGCATGATAACTCAGTAATTAATATCAGAATTTAATGCGTAATGTCATGTTAGTGCAATCGTACATCAGACTGGTTTTTGCATTTAATAGTGAGCACGGGCACGGGACAGGTTGTGATACGAATCGTAATTTTTTGAAGTAAATTAAACTTGATGATTCACCAGCAAACTTCTTGTGCATAATAGAGTTTAAAAGTTATCACGGAAGTGAAGCGCGTCGAGTAAAATTTGGAGTGCACGCTATTTATAGAATTTGCATAAAATTATAATTAAGAAAAAAAACAAATATGATCGATAGTTGTCATGTTTGCCGTGGTTAATATTTCATTGAATACAAACTTGGTGAAAAACACTAAAATACGTTAAATAACGTGCATTACTACAGGATATACAGGGTGTTTCAGTTTATTGTTGCATAACTTTAAGATTCGATAGAACTTTTAAAATTAATGCATAAAGTCTATATAAACATGGGTCGAAGAATGCGTGGCTTCCGAAATACAGGGTGTTTAAATTTATTTTCTAAAATAGTTTTTTTTTAAATATTTCGAATAATATTTGATGTATAACAGTGAAAATTGGTATACAAGGGTTTTTTGGTACGACAAAACGAACCATGGGCATAGTTTTACTGTAGCCGCTAGAGGGCACTCTCTACTGTACCTGTAGTGTATTAAAATGACCGAAAATTTCTTCTTAGTGCAATTTTTTGCTTTTTGAATAAAAAAACTGATTTTTCGCACTTTTCAACATAAAAAAGCTCTCTTGTGAATTTTCGTTATAGTTAGCCGTTTTTGAGACATTTCGATGCATTTTTAATTATTTATGACAAAATAACGTTAAAAAGTCAGTATCTCGATAATTTTTAGAAGTAGGCTGTGCCTACAAATATTTTTGAAATTGAAAGCAGAATAAGGTTAAACGTCAATTAGTTGACAGTTAGTTTTGTTGTCTGTTGAAACCTGAAACGTTTTTTTGCAATTGTGAATGCACGAAATTTAGTTTAGCACTGATATTGTGGCGTTAAAGCTAAATAAACCTACAACAAACAAATTGCGACTCACCATGATCGCGATCAAAAACTCTGCATGACTTCCCGCTCCAGCCCTTCCCATAATAGGTATGAACAGATACAGCGCTCCAATCATCAGATAAAAACATTGGACGAACGGCAGACCCATAACTGATATATGTAGCAATAACCATTTCGAATCTAAAAGAGAACATTATTTCTATAAATAGATCTGATAATATGGAATGATACAATGTGTCTCCAAACCATAGGGCAAACATTTAAGGCGACTCTTTGGACCATTACCTGGACATTTTGACATTTAGTGATTTTATCAACTAAGATCATCCTAGAGCTTCCCTACCAACAAAAATGTTCAAAAATCCAAAATCTTTCAAATACACCTGGGACATTTCTTATCTAACCACATCCAGCACAGCTATCAGACTTTTCTATCTTTTTTATCAGAAGCCTAAATGCCAGTCCACCGCATCCCAAAGAAACTTTGTTAGTCCGATTTTTAAGGCAGGGGGGAAAGCCTCCTCTATAGTCAGGTGTGCCCAAAAGTACAGCCCATAGAATCTTGCAAAAATACGTGCTCCATCCATACCACGTACAGAGTGTTGAAGCTCTTCTGCCCCGGGATTATGAGCCCCGAGTTGCTTTTTGTCGCACAATGTTAGAAAGACACAGGGAAGATCCACGGTTCTTTGAAAAAATTTTATGGTGGGATGAGACCACATTTAAGAAAGATGGGTACATGAACCTGCATAACTTACACGAGTGGCACGTAGCAAACCCACATTTGATGAGAGAAGATAAATCTCAATATCGCTTCAAGATAAACCATTGGACAGGAATTTTAAATGGTAAAATAATCGGTCCGTTTGAGTTCCCAGAGACTTTGACTGCTGAAGTTTATTTGGATTTTTTGAAAAATCATGTACAAAATTTATTGGTGGACGTGCCACTGAGTATTTACAGGGACATGTGGTTTCAGCATGATGGCTGCCCAGCGCACTATGCACTCTCAGTGAGAGAGTATCTCGATCAAAACTTTCCAGGCAGATGGATAAGGCGGTCTGGTACAATACCGTGGCCAGCCCGATCACCTGATGTGAATCCTTTAGATTTTTTTACTGGGGAACTGTAAAAGAAAAAGTGTATTTCAAGCCGATTCAAAATGTAGCTGAGCTACGGCAAAGACTATTGGAAGCAGCTGAGTTTGTTAATAACCGTGGATTCGCTCGTTTAATAACCCGAATTGCATTATATGGATACACTCTTTCTGTACTTGACCTTCCGCTTAATATTTTTCATGATTTCAGAATTATACCAAGCGGGATACTTGAGGCTAAAATAAAATAAATAATAAAATAAAAACAGGTACATGTCTATCAAGAATGTTACACAGCATCACATAGAAACAGCAATATCAAGGTCATCAGAACGTAAACTTCTACCCCAATTCGCTATCGTCAGATCTCTATATAACAATGCAAAATCAGCTTTTACTAATAAAAATTAACATTTCTTATTTTGTACGCCCTACACAGGGTGTTGCTTAATGATATGCGAATATTTAAGGATGTGAATCTACATGAAAAATTAATGTTAGTTTGCTTTATAAACTATGATCCAAAAATGTTTCCTTACAAAAACTCGGGGTGTTGAAGTTTTCGGAAAAAAATGGAAATTAATTAATATTTTCAGAACCGCTTCAGATATTTCACTGATACTTAGTACGTAGTGAAAGTTAATAAAGTTGAATATTTTTCCATGCAAAATAATTTTTGGCTTTAACAGTGGCGTGCGTACGGGTATTGACTTCGATATTTTTTAAGAAAAAAAATGGTACGCCAATGGTTATTCGCCAAATAAAAACTATTTTTGAATTCCCCGTTCAATTTAAAACAAATGATCTCTCCTGAATTGTTTTCTTCGATGCGCCATTTTTGAGTAAAAAAATAGAAACAGTTCTATTGTCTAACTTGCAAAACTTCAACACCCCGAGTTTTTGTAAGGAAACATTTTTGTACCCTAGTTTATAAAGCAAACTAACAATAATTTTTCATGAAGTCAGACCCTTAAATATTCGCATATCATTAAGGAACACCCTATTTTCGATATAAATTATTAAACGATGTTCAAATGCAAAATAACCCTAGAATTGTACAACGACTCACCTTTCGAAGTTTTGTTCATGTTTTGGAAACATTCTGTATATCTGTTATTTACTAGATAAATGTATACTTTATCTGAAGTCACTTGAAATAGCATAAAAACCTTTGGTCGGCGCGTCCTTTGTAATTTCATGACGTATCATAGGCGTGCGGTCATTTATTTAGAACGATAATAATAATGTTTTTATATCACAATAAATGGATTTTACTATCTTCTTATTTTTTTGATTTGGGATGAAAAATACTTATATTGGGAGTTTAATTTATGTTGACTGAAAGTTAAGAAATGGAAAAATTACAGAATTCCAACGTTTGACATAGGCAAATATTTACATAGCAGGTAGGTATATAAAAAGGTATATAAAGACTTACATTATAGGTATTTATATATCATCCTCGCCTTCGGAGCTGTCGCTAGAGTCATCTTGTAGAGGAATTACAACGGGATTTACAGGAGGCAAAACACAATATTCATTTTCTTTTTCAATAATATGCCAAGAACACTGCTTCCATAGGTCTGTGGCAGCAATATGAGATACTGCATCTCTTATTGTGGCCAATAGCGATTCACTTAATTGAGGGGTCTGATTATGTTTTCTTACTTTTTTTTTAAAGCAGCCCAGACCAACTCAATCGGGTTAAAAATGCAGTAATAGGGAGGTAGACGTAATACTTCATGGCCATTTTGCTGAAGCAGATTGTCAACAACATACTCTTTTTCAAATTTTTGTCTTTTAATAAGATCCAATAATATGGCTTTGGTTGATTTATTGTGGTATTTCCATTCCCTTATCCTTCATAAAATCAATAATGTCTTGTTTTTTTGTGCCTGTATTCGGAATTTTGTTTTTCTGTCGGGAATGGTATGGCGCATTGTCCATAATAATCACTGAATTTGGGGAAATGTTTGGTATTAACTGCTGCTCTATCAACTTTTCAAATAAGTCGGAGGTCATGTCCTCATGATAGTCGGCACATGATTCTTTGATATTTTTGGCAGATAACAGCAAGGCATTAGGTATAAATCCATTTTCACTGCCAGCATGGAGAATAATGATTCGTTTTCCACGGTTGCATGGTGCATTTAAAATGCACTTGTTGCTGTCGTCAACCCAGCCGTACTGCACAACATCATGGGTATCATACCACGTTTCATCCAGGTAAATCAGATTTCTTTTCTGCTCTCTATAGATTTTAACTTTGTGCAAAAATTCTTGGCGCAATTAAACGATTCGAGACGACTCCATAATCACCATTCTTTTATCTAATTTTTTGTATTGAAAACCACACAGTTTTACAATACAGTGCAGTGAGTCTAAGCATTTGTAATTATAAAAATCTTCAGGATAATCTTTTAATTTATCCCGTATCATTTCCAACGTGGGCACCAAATTTTCTTTATAAAATCCGTATATTATACGACGAATATCTTCCTGAAAACCCACGTCTATTCTTTTTAACTTTTGCCCTATGCGCTTTCTGTGGAAGGAATGGTTGACTACATCTCCCCTTTTTATAACCCGATAAATGGTAGACCGACTGATTTTTGTCAGGATACAAATTCTGTTTAAAATTTCATTTTGCGAGGAATCTGGATTTTCGTTTTTCAGACAATCATACATATTTAGGATTACTCTTTGGGTCTGTTCCTCTAAATCTTTATGAAAGAATTCTGCCTGCACAGGTTCATCAACCATCTCCTCGTGGCTTGGAGCATTTTCCCAAGATCACCAAAGAGCCATATTTAGGACACACAAGAACAATCAACACAACAATTAAATCAACAAGTAAACAGAGTATTCAAATGTCAAAAACACAAACTAATAAAATCTACGAAAAAACACGGACAGACTAAAGAAAACACGTTTATTCACCGCTACACGTCACTGGCTAAACTGTTTCAATTTTCAGTAGCCACCTGCTTTTGTTCGGAGCTCTGAAATACACGCTTTCTCATTGGCTATGTCCACGCATAGGCGTGCTTTACTCCACGTGGACCGGTGAAACTGCCTTTGATATTTGCTGCGAAATTTGTCGATTTTTGCAGCAACAGAGCGTGTTAAATATAGATATATAAAACGCACCCGGTATTTCACAGTGTTTCAAGTGACTTCAGATAAAGTATACCGTAATTATAAAATTACCTCTGAATCTGCCATATAATTTTGACTTCAAAATGTTTCCTAGAGCTGCAAAGAATGTCCAAGTCCATGCTATAAAACTTGAACGTATCCTTAAAAGGATTCCAAAAAACAAGACAACAGTCCAGATGACTTGGTAAGCGTCGTAGTATATTTGAAACTTTGCCCACGGAGACACGTCCAGATCCTGCAAAACGCAAACCATGTATTGAAAAACGATGTCGAGTAGATTGAATTTTCTATTCGTTAATATACGGATATTTTAAAGGTTAACACTGTTGACATATGTTATTTAAAAAATGGCGTCAAGTAGATTTATTTAGCACATTTGGCTACATAAACAGAATAATTGTAAACAACTTAGAACTAGTAAATTCAAGCCATATGGTGTATGATGTAAATGCTGGGCAACCTATAATTGTAGATTTAACAAGTGATTTCTCAATTTTACTTTAAATTTTGTCACAGTTTTCTGGTCTTTTATCTCCGAGTATAATTTATTATATTCAATCAACCCTTGATGGAATACAGATTTGTAGCATATGTTATACTTTTTCGTCATTAAATGGAAGTCATCTTTATTTCTGGTATTATGTAAATGATGGTCGACATTTGATGATGTTAAATTAGTTAGACTTGATGGAAATATATTATTTTTTACTTTATAAATGAATATCATTACAAGATGTTTGATAAAATTTTTTACATTTAGCCATTTTAATTTGCTAAGCATTTGTCTAGTTGTAGTATATTTATCTTTATTCAGTACTATTCTCATGCACTCAAAATTTGCAGTCTTTCAAAAATGGAATTATTTGCTAAATATAGAATAGTCGAACAGTACAAGAAATATGGAAGAATGGTGGTATTATAGATAATTTTTCTGCTATATGAACTCAGACATCCAGAAACTCTCGATAAATATTCCACTTTACTACTAATCTGATTTATAACTTTTTCATAATGAATATCAAAAATTAATCGAGAGTCAACAAAAACCCCCAGGTATTTAAAATTTTCTACGAATTCAATATCTTCACCATCAATATTCAGTTGAACATTTGTACATTGTTTTTTCCGATTAACAAGGCTTTCGTTTTACTTGTATCTAATTTTAGTCTGTTAGATGCTAACCATTTTGAGACAAGCTTCAAGTCTTCATTTATATAAGAGATACCAGTCTGAATATTTTTAGTACTTATATAAATCATAATGTCATCGGCGAAAATCTGAATTTTGCATTTTTGGACAATGGCAGGTAAATCATTTATGTATAAAATAAAAATAAGTGGTCCCAGGATACTGCCCTGCGGAACACCCAACGTATTTTCAATTTTTAATGAAAACCAATCTAAAACACTTCCTGTTATACCATATGCTTCAATTTATCTAACAAAATATCTCTATCAATCGTTTCAAATGCCCTCTTCAAATCCAAAAATACTACTATGCCAACTTCTTCTCCAATTCTCAGTTACCAACTGGAAAGCCGTTTCTGTCGAATATTTTTTTCGAAAGCCTGCTTGCGCCTCTACTAAAATTTTGTTTTCTTCTATAAACTGCATTAATTGGTCATGCACTATGGACTCTAATAATTTTCAAATGTCTGGTAACACATTTACTGGTCTAATATCGCTGCATCTTTTAGAATTTTTTATTCTGGGAACTGGTGTTATTGTAGAGCATTTTTCAGCAAATTTTCAGGAAAAGAACTACTTCTCAGTGAACAATTGATCCAATTTAATACAGGATATCCCAAAATTTCGAAACAGTTTTTCAGCACGTTTTTAGTAGTGATTTCGGCACAGTTGTTATTTGATTTTAAACTTTTTACTTAGATAATTCAATGATACGCTGTGAAATTTTGAAAGTGTATGCAACATTTCCCCCTGGAAACTGATTTTCAAATGTAGGGATTTTATTTGTGAAACATGTCTAACAGGTATGCCACAATTGCTGGGGTTAGAAACGTATAAATACACTAATATCAAACAATTTAAATATACCCTCCCCCACCACCTGCCAACCTACCATCCCTAATGTTTCACTCCCACAAAATTTTCTAAAAATGAATTTTGAGCAATTTTTATTTTTTCCTTTGCTTGCCCTTAGCTCCGGCGCCGCTGGGGCCATTTTCAAAAACGATAAACCTTTTTCGTCCTTGGTATAGTATACTATACTAAGTGACATATATATTCGAACACCCAGTTTAAATGGTTTTATTTTAATAAAATTTTGTATAAGTACTTAATGAAGCATAATAAGTAAATGATAAAAATTTCAAAATGATTGCACTGCTTTAAAGCCCTTTGACCTTTAATAATGTGTCGATGCACCCTGATGTGCTACGCATTCTCCAACGCGCCTAAGCATGCTTCTGATCAGGTGGTCAATGTCCTCCTGTGGTATCTCATTCCAGGCAACCACCAACTCCTCTCGAAGTGCTTCTAGAGTCTGAGGAGGACGTTGCAAATTGAGCAATCTCCTACCCATCATATCCCACACGTGCTCAATTGGGGATAAGTCGGGAGATCTTGGTGGCCATGGTAACAATGTGACATCATTATGTTGAAAGAAGTCTATTGTGACTCTTGCAACATGTGGTAGGGCATTATCTTGTTGGAAAGTTGGATCTGCCAGGGTGTCAAGATAGGGTAAAAGATGGGGTTCTAGAACTTCGTGGATATAACGCTGCGCGTTCATGTTACCTCTGATGAAGATTAAAGGTGACCTGGAACCATAAGCTGTAGCACCCCAAACCATAACTCCAACAGTGTGATGAACATGTCTTTCAACAAAAAACTGTGGATTCCTCCTTTCACCACGTCGCCTTCTAACCCTGGCACTACCATCGTGCATGCCTAAACAAAATCGAGACTCGTCACTAAAGACAATACTGTTCCATTCCTGATCCCAGAGTGACCGTTGTCTGCACCACTCAAGGCGATTACGTCGGTGTTCTCGAGTTAAACGGAGGACCCAGTGTGGCCGGTATGAAAACAAGCCAAAACTTCTCATTCGTCGGTAAACACTTCGCATGCCAATAGGTCTTCCGTGTTCTGCAAACCATTCATTTGCAATGGACCTGGTAGCGGAGAAACGGTCCCTTAAGGCCAATAATCTTAGGCGGCGATCTTCACGGTCTGTTGTTCTACGGCGGCGTCCAGTGCCCCTTGCTCTTTGCGTACGGCCTTCTCGAAGCCATGCCTGACAACACCTAACCACAGTGTCTACACTTCTTTGCACTCTAACTGCAATTGCCCGAAAAGAAAGTCCAGCTTCCCGAAGTCCCACTATACGGCCCCTATCAAACTCACTAAGTTGACGAAATCGTACAGGTCTCCGTACTCTAGGCATCGTAACCGATCGTAAAGGATGTCAAGAACAAAGATCCGCCAACGTTGATTCTTTACTGCGGCTGAAATATTCATTTTTAGAGCGTTAGTGAATTAAAAAAAAAAGCAGTATAAAAACCGGAATGTCCAACTGATAAGGCTGAACATTTTTTCATTTGTTATTTACAGTAAGATAAATGCATTCACCAACTTTTATTAAAATAAAACCATTTAAACTGGGTGTTCGGATTTATATGTCACTTAGTATATAAACCTTTTGTGAAAATTTCTTTAAAATCCGAGCGGTACTTCTCAAGTTATAGGCGGTTATAAGATTAGCGGACAAACCGACAAACAGATATACTGACGGAAATGAGTGACAGGTATTTCGCCAGTAGGCGTGGGAGGTAAAACACAAAGAAACAAAATCTGGGAACGAGTTTGAAATTTTTTGTCTTTTACTTATTACTCCGTCACCGCTGCAGCGAATCTAAAAAATCGACCGTTAGTCCAGTTAAATAGCCGAAACTGTCGCAAAAGTGATAACATAGCCACAAAGTTATGTCCGCTGGCGTAATGGTGTAATAAAGGCTTGCCAATATTGCCGTAAGAGTCTCTTTTTACGGAAACCATCCGTTTTTCGTAAACCAGTGAAAAACCCAAAATAACCTCTTTCTGGCTGAAACGGCTGAGGATATCTGGGATTTTTTTACACGTTATTTTTTCTAATTTTTGGGCCATTAAAAAAGGTATTTGCAAATGTTTGACTAACGTGCAAATATGGCGTATAAAATAGTTATACAGAGTGTCCCAGAAGTCGACGTCAAGCCGAAACCGGGTGATAGGCAAAGTCATAACAGCTATCAGGAAAATATTTAAAAAAATTTTATGTATGTGTTTTGAAAATTATAGGTCTTTGAAAAAGATATAGAAATTTCACACCCTACGGCAGTCTGTCAACTCCTGTTACTACAACTATTAACTTTTTTTGGATTTTATTTTTACAATGTAATGATGAATAATGCATCTTCAAACTGGTGTCTCAACCTTACTGGCAACTTTTCTCGTTCAGGAAAAATTGCCACTTATTTCCCAACCAAGTATTCCAAAGTAAAACTTTGCTCAACTTTAACTGGCTGTACTGGAAAAAATGTACTACGAGAGTTTGGCAAGTAACCTTAAAAGTTGGCGCATTTAATAACGATTCCAAAATGGTATAACACTTAGAAGGTTACTCGTTAACTTATGCACAATTTTTATTTGAAAAAAAAAACTGATGAAAATTTTTCAAAATTTCCTAATTAAACAGCGATTATGAAAACGCACAAGGACCCTTAAGGATAACTGTTTGCACAACAGTGGGCATCAAAATGCTGCTGATGATGATTTATCTTTACAGCAAATGCTCAAACTGTTTTCGTTCAGCCGCAATACACGCTCGACATCTTTTTAAAAAAGATCGGGTTATTAAACGAGCGAATCCACGGTTATTAACAAACTCAGCTGCTTCCAATAGACTTTGCCGTAACTCAGCTACATTTTGAATCGGCTTGAAATACACTTTTTCTTTTACAGTTCCCCAGTAAAAAAAATCTAAAGGATTCAAATCAGGTGATCGGGCTGGCCACGGTATTGTACCAGACCGCCTTATCCATCTGCCTGGAAAGTTTTGATCGAGATACACTCTCACTGAGAGTGCATAGTACGCTGGGCAGCCATCATGCTGAAACCACATGTCCCTGTAAATACTCAGTGGCACGTCCACCAATAAATTTTGTACATGATTTTCCAAAAAATCCAAATAAACTTCAGCAGTCAAAGTCTCTGGGAACTCAAACGGACCGATTATTTTACCATTTAAAATTCCTGTCCAATGGTTTATCTTGAAGCGATATTGAGACTTATCTTCTCTCATCAAATGTGGGTTTGCTACGTGCCACTCGTGTAAGTTATGCAGGTTCATGTACCCATCTTTCTTAAATGTGGTCTCATCCGACCATAAAATTTTTTCAAAGAACTGTGGATCTTTCCTGTATCTTTCTAACATTGTGCGACAAAAAGCAACTCGCGGCTCATAATCCCGGGGCAGGAGAGGTTGAACCCGCTGTATGAGGTATGGATGAAGCACATCACTTACTTGCTATTGCACACTTTGATACCGATCAGTACTCCTTCATTTACTGCGCATCTTTACATGTTCGTGCTTGTTGATTTCGTACTGTTACTAATTTTGGATTCGTGAACTGGACTGTTGATCGCTTGTGATTTGGATTTGGACTGTTTAATTGCTCTTCAAAACAACATTTGCTTTCCTTAGACTATCTTTGATAGTGTGATTGTGCAGTGCCGCTATGTCCGTGTACACCGTACAAGAATATGCTAACATGCACCTCATTTATGGGGAATGCAGATGCAACGCTAGTGCTGCAGCGAGACTTTACTGTGAGAGGTACCCGAATGCAGCTCGTCATCCAGATCATCGAGTGTTCACAAATGTGCACCGCTTACTGTTCTCAGAGGGCCAACTACCAAACCAATCACACGGTGAGAGAAGATCTTTCCTTTCTTACGAAGACGTGGTGCTAGGAGCTGTCGAAGAAGACCCGAGTACTTCAGTGCGTGCAATAAAATTAAAAACAGGTGTGCCCAAATGTACAGCCCATAGAATCTTGCAAAAAAACGTGCTCCATCCATACCACGTACAGCGTGTTCAAGCTCTTCTGCCCCGGGATTATGAGCCCCGAGTTGCTTTTTGTCGCCCAATGTTAGAAATACACAGGGAAGATCCACGGTTCTTTGAAAAAATTGTATGGTCAGATGAGACCACATTTAAGAAGGATGGGTACATGAACCTGCATAACTTACACGAGTGGCACGTAGTAAACCCACATTTGATGAGAGAAGATAAATCTCAATATCGCTTCAAGATAAACCATTGGTCAGGAATTTTAAATGGTAAAATAATCGGTCCGTTTGAGTTCCCAGAGACTTTGCCTGCTGAGGTTTATTTAGGTTTTTTGCAAAATCATTTAGAAAATTTATTGGAGGACGTGCCACTGAATATTTACAGGGACATGTGGTTTCAGCATGATGGCTGCCCAGCGCACTATGCACTCTCAGTGAGAGAGTATCTCGATCAAAACTTTCTAGGCAGATGGATAGGGCGGTCTGGTACAATACCGTGGCCAGCCCGGTCACCAGATTTGAATCCGTTCGATTTTTTTTACTGGGGAACTGTAAAAGAAAAAGTGTATTTCAAGCCGATTCAAAATGTAGCTGAGCTACGGCAAAGACTATTGGAAGCAGCTGAGTTTGTTAATAACCGTGGATTCGCTCGTTTAATAACTCGATCTTTTTTAAGAAAATGTCGAGCGTGTATTGAAGGAAAACAGTTTGAGCATTTGCTGTAAAGGTAAATCATCATCAGCAGCATTTTGACGCCCACTGTTGTGCAAACAGTGATCCTTAAGGGTCCTTGTGCGTTTTCATAATCGCTGTTTAATTAGGAAATTTTGAAAAATTTTCATCAGTTTTTCTTCAAATAAAAATTGTGCATAAGTTAACGACTAATCTTCTAAGTGTTATACCATTTTGGAATCGTTATTAAATGCGCCAACTTTTAAGGTTACTTGCCAAACTCTCGTAGTACATTTTGTTCCAGTACAGCCAGTTAAAGTTGAGCAAAGTTTTACTTTGGAATAATTGGTTGGGAAATAAGTGGCAATTTTTCCTGAACGAGAAAAGTTGGCAGTAAGGTTGAGACACCAGTTTGAAGATGCATTATTCATCATTACATTGTAAAAATAAAATCCAAAAAAGTTAATATTTGTAGTAACAGGAGTTGACAGACTGCCGTAGGGTGTGAAATTTCTATAATTTTCAAAACACATACATAAAATTTTTTTAAATATTTTTCTGATAGCTGTTATGACTTTGCCTATCATCCGGTTTCGGCTTGACGTCGACTTCTGGGACACCCTGTATAAACGTTTACGCAACAGTTAAAAATTTTCCCTATAAGGTGTTGTATAACTATGCTATAAGAATATTTTAAACACCTCACTTTAGAGCAAATATGTTGTAGAAAGCAAATTTGCATTCCATACAACATTAAGCCAGCATTTTGGTGCTCAGGCAACAGCAGTAGAGAGCTTTTATGGCTGAACGGTTCTTTTACCAAAAGCTTGTAACACTACTTTGCTAGTTGGGCAGCCTAATAACTAATAAACAAAACTCATAAGTAGGTTATATAAATCTTCTTATTTTAAAAGGGCCTATCCGTGTAAGTAATAAAAAGTACGGTTTTCCATTTTAACAAAAATATTTTTGATGTGGGACAAAATTGGAACACCCTGTATTCCATTCTCGCATGCTTGGGATGGAAACGCTTCATATGATTATCATGAGACCTTGAGAACTTTCGATCCGGATGCTCTGGAGAGCTTATTCCCAAAGTTTGAGCTAGATTCATCGGAGACTGATTTCCGTAAAGTTTGTGCCGCCTCCTTTATTTTATCCTAAAAATATATCGTAGGTAAAACAGGTTTTTTGAAACGGAACGGTTTTGTACCATCTGCAGCTAATTTGGTTTCCTGTTTGATATGTGCCTACGAATGTTAATATATACAAATAAACTTACACTGTTGAAGAGCTTTGCATGCAATAGGACGGTGGCCATGCAAACAAGTAAAGTAGGGATAACGTATAAGAAAAAAGCCCACAACGGTCTCGCGTACCAACTCATAGTCCTCCCGAAGGCCGTCAGCAGAGCGGCTATGATAACGGTGGCAAATACTGACAGTATCCAGGATATTAGTGCCGTTAGAGTACAACCAAGCAGCTTCCGCAGGTACTGTTTCTCCTTTATATCTGGAAGAGATAGTATAACATCAGTAAAGAGTCCAAAAGCGGACTCCCATCCTGTTAATGATATAAGAAAATACGAAGAATTGATAAAAGTCTACTTTAAATACAACCAGCAACGTGTAGTAGTAGAAAGATTTATTTAGCACATTTGGCTACATAAACAGAACAATTGTAAACAACTAGTACATTCAGGCCATATGGTGTATGATGTAAATGCTGGGCAACCTATAATTGTAGATTTAACAAGTGATTTCTCAATTTTACTTTAAATTTTGTCAATGTTTTCTGGTCTTTTATCTCTGAGTATAATTTATTATATTCAATCAACCCTTGATGGAATACATATTTGTAGCATATGTTATACTTTTTGGTCATTAAATGGAAGTCATCTTTATTTCTGGTATTATGTAAATGATGGTCGACATTTGATGATGTTAAATTAGTTAGCCTTGATGGAAATATATTATTTTTTACTTTATAAATGAATATCATTACAAGACATTTGATAAAATTTTTTACATTGAGCCATTTTAATTTGCTAAGCATTTGCCTAATTGGAGTATATTTATCTTTATTTAGTATTATTCTCATGCACTTATTTTGTAAACTTTGCAGTCTTTCAAAAATGGAATTATTTGCTAAATATAGAATAGTCGAACAGTACAAGAAATTTGGAAGAATGTTGGTATTATAGATAATTTTTCTGCTATATGAACTCAGACATCCAGCAACTCTCGATAAATATCCCACTTTACTACTAATCTTATTTATAACTTTTTCATAATGAATATCAAAAATTAATCGAGAGTCAACAAAAACCCCAAGGTATTTAAAATTTTCTTCACCATCAATATTCAGTTGAACATTTGTACATTGTTTTTTCCGATTAACAAGGCTTTCGTTTTACTTGTATTTAAATTTAGTCTGTCAGATGCTAACCATTTTGAGACAAGTTTCAAGTCCTCATTTATATAAGAGGTACCAGTCTGAATATTTTTAGTACTTATATAAATCATAATGTCATCGGCGAAAATCTGAATTTTGCATTTTTGGACAATGGCAGGTAAATCATTTATGTATAAAATAAAAATAAGTGGTCCCAGGATACTGCCCTGCGGAACACCCAACGTATTTTCAATTTTTAATGAAAACCAATCTAAAACACTTCCTGTTATACCATATGCTTCAATTTATCTAACAAAATATCTCTATCAATCGTTTCAAATGCCCTCTTCAAATCCAAAAATACTGATATGACAACTTCTTCTGAGTCTATGGCTCTTCTCCAATTGTCAGTTACCAACTGGAAAGCCGTTTCTGTGGAATATTTTTTTCGAAAGCCTGCATGCGCCTCCACTAAAATTTTGTTTTCTTCTATAAACTGCATTAATTGGTCATGCACTATGGACTCTAATAATTTTTAAATGACTGGTAACACATTTACTGGTATCATATCGCTGCATCTTTTAGAATTTTTTATTTTGGGAACTGGTGTTATTGTAGAGCATTTCAAATTTTCAGGGAAAGAACTGCTTCTCAGTGAACAACTGATCCAATTTAATACAGGATATCCCAAAATTTCGAAACAGTTTTTCAGCACGTTTTTAGTAGTCATTTCAGCACAGTTGTTATTTGATTTCAAACTGTTTACTTTTTTCTTAGATAATTCAATGATACGCTGTGAAATTTTGAAAGTGTATGCAACATTTCCCCCTGGAAACTGATTTCCATATAGTCAGGTGCAGCATTAGCAGTACCCACAATATCAACAATACTTTCCACAAAATATTCATTTAGTTTGTTTGCAATCACCAAAGAATTTGTTTCGGTACCGTTTTCGAATTGAACTTGGTTTACACAATCATGCGGCTTCGAATTGATAAGTCTTTTTAAAGTCTTCCACATCTTTACACTGTCGCACTTGTTATTATCGATTTGTTTATCGTACAATTTCCTTTTTTCTTCTCTAATTACATACACACATTTATTCCTGAGAGTTTTATATACCTCCCAATCATCATTTGATTTTGTGAATATACATTTATTGTACTGTTTGTCTCTCAAATTTTGAGCTGCCTTAATATTCTTGTTATACCAGGGTGTATTTTTTGTCGAGCAAATCACTTTTTTATCAGTTGCAAGATCTAAACAAGTTTTTATATTTCCTATTATGTTGTCATATATTTTTTCCATATTCTCACCAAAATTCCAATAGCAGCCAGCAAGTTCTCGTTCAAGTTTTTCGTACTTAATAGTATTTACGATTTTCTTAATTTTTGTATCAGAAAAATGCCCTACCAAGTGCAGCATTGTCCAACTGTGATCGCTAACTTTAGGTGTATGTACAGCTTTAATCCTTGCACATTCGAAATTTACAATAACAAGATCTAACAAAGTCTCTGATAATGATGTTATTCTGGTACTCTCTTCAATTCTTTGCTTGAACCCATAGTTGTTTACGGTTTCTTTCAATTTTCTTGTTTTCATGCTTTTACCATAATAATTTAAATTAAAATCACCTAAAAGTATTATATTGTTTCTAAAATTCCACATTTCTTCGCATTTTTCTGTGTGCTTCGTTTAATTTACACGTTCTTATTCAAAAACTACAAAGCTTTTTCAACCTTGGCATAGTGGTAAAGCTTTGTGAAAATTTCATCAATATCCAATATCTCAAGTTGAAGGCGGTTATAAAATTAGCGGAAAGACATACATACCCACAGAAATGAGTGACATGGTTTTTCGTGATGTACATGTATGACATTCAAAAAACATAATATCTTAATTTCGAAATTGTTCGCAATTTGTTGAACTTTGTCGCTCGAAAGTCAATCACGTAATCATGTACGAATCACGTGACTCTTAACACTTGACACTTTAGATCATTGATTCCCAAAGTGGTCTATATCGGCCCCTAGGGGTCTATGACAACCTGCAAGGGGTCTACGTCAGCGAAAAAAAATTTGGGGGTCCATGAAATGAATATGGGGGTCCACGATAGTGGATCCTCAACACATACACTGATAGTACCTATTTACTTACATCGTACTATATTATAATATCAAAACATATACATTATTTATAAAAGTACCTATGAAGTAAAAAATTTATTATATATATTTATAAAATTGTGTAAGTTGTAGGATGTTGGTATTCGCTTTGTGGTCGCAATACATTTTGAACTTGTAAAAACCTGAGAGTCGCAGTCTCAGAGCTTCGCTACCTTGCACTGACTTGTTCAATTCGTCACTCTATAAATACGAATGTGGGACAAATACGTTTATTCGTTTCCTGACTCTTGAAAATGAAAGTGCTAAGAAAATATTTTAAAAAATATAAACAGATAGTATATCACACAAATTATAGTGAGTCAGTGTTATTTTGTTTGAGAGTGCTGGAGAAAAGTAAGTACATTATTTTTTATAAAATTTTAGTTTTGTACTCGTAGCTAGCAAAGATAGATAAATTAGCCAATCATGACTTTAGTTATTAGTAGTTAAATATTCAATCATGCAAAAGTACACGAGTACTCCTCAATAGTTTCTTTTTGAAAGTTTTAGCAATCGGTAATATAATTACAGTGCAATCTCCGTAATTCGAGCTAATTGTTGCAAGAAGATGTTCGAATTATGGAATGTTTTCGGAAAAATCAAAAAATATTTTTAATATACAGCTGCTGGTTTTTCTGTCTTATGCCATGTCCGAATCTAAAAAGAAATGTAGACAGTACAGTGTTGATTATTTGAAATTTGGCTTCATTCCATCATTGCCGGACAAACAATCGCCTATGTGCCTTTTATGCAACAAAGTTTTGGGCAATGACGCTATGAAACCATCTAAACTGCAAGATCATCTGAGAAGATGCCACTCTGATAAAACAGAGAAAGATTTGAAATACTTTCAAACACTCAAAGATAAATTTCAGAAGAGACCTACACTGGTTTGCGGGCGTCTTACAATATCTCGTTACTTATAGCAAAATCCGGAAAACCGCATACTATCGGAGAGAAGTTAATTTTGCCAGCCGTTGAAGAGGTTTTAAAAACTGTTTTACACAAACCTGCATCTGATATCATTAAAAGAATTCCCTTAAGCAACAATACTGTTGAAAGACGAAATGGATGAAATGAGTTCTGATATTGAAAGCTTCTTATGTAATTATTTGCAAACGACCCATTTCTCTATACAACTGGACGAGTCAACTTTACCTGATAATGCAGATTTTTATTGGCATATGTTCGTTTTATTATGAATCAAGAAATCTACGAAGAACTGCTCTTCGCAAGAACTTTGATAACCGACACTAAAGGTGAATCAATATTTCATGTTTTGAAGGATTACTTTATTGAAAAAGCAATTCCATTATCAAATATAATATCAGTAGCTACAGATGGAGCACCTGCCATGGTTGGACGTTATCGTGGATTTATAAGCTATTTCAAACAAAATGTGTCAGGGGTGTTAGCAATACATTGCGTCATCCATCGACAACATTTAGTTGCTAAAAATTTGAGTGTTAGATTGCATGAATCACTTCATTAGGTCGTTGATGCAGTAAACCGAATCCGAAGCAACGCGTTGAATACGCGGTTATTTGCGCAGTTGTGTGAAGAAAATGACGAACACTTTCATCAATTACTCCTTCACACTGAAGTACGCTGGCTGTCGAAAGGCTTATGTTTGACAAGATTTTTTGCACTTTTTGAGACTATTTTAGAATTTCTGGATACTAAAGATAAAATTTTAAAAGAAAATTTAATGAAGAGGAAAACAGGCATCGCCTATTTAACAGATTTGTTTACAAAATTTAATATGGTTAATTTGCAATTACAAGGCGACAGTTTAAATTTGACTAAAACAAAGTCCATCTTATCAGCGTTTCTTGCCAGAGTTAAACTAATGAAGCAAAATATTGGACGGGGCGAATTTTCTCAGTTCCCCAATTTGTCACAGACAAGCTGCCAGGAAGACGACGTTTCAACTTACGTTCAACATTTAAATGCCCTCTATTCAGATTTTGAATCTAGGTTTGAGGATATTTTGACTATGGTAATACCACCGTGGATAATTAATCGATATGGTGACATAGCAGAAACGAATGTCATAATACAAGAGGAACTGACTGAACTAAGTACAAACGAAGAACTTAAGGTTCAGTTTAAAAACGGAAATCAGCAATTCTGGCTGCAAAACAACATACCCGTTACTTATCCCGTATTATGGAATATAGCGAGGAAATTTTTTCCTTTCCATCGTCATACCTAGTGGAAAGTGGGTTCAGCGCTGTTACCAATCTCCTAACGAAAAAAAGAAACAGACTGGACATCATTAGCCGAGGAGATTTAAGATTAACCCTTACAAAATTGACGCCAAATGTTGATAATTTATTACTAAAGCATCAGGTTCATCCTTCTCACTAAAAATATTGACTTATTGCTTATGTTATTTTATGTATAGTTTATTTTATGTTTATTGGTGTCTGACCAATAAATGCCCGCATTGGGAATAAGTGCCCGCATTGATTTTTTTAAAGAACCCCCTTTATAGAAAATATTTTTTTTTAAATTATTCTGAAAATTCAAGGATAGGTACACACTAAAATTCGTTAATTTTTTGCCTATTTTTAGATAACTTAAACGTATAAGAAGCGGAATTTAATCAAACTAACAGTGAAATAATTGTAGAACATACGTTTATGTTATACTTAATAAACGAACTCGCTTATTGTACTATTTTAAGTAAAAAACTTTTTTTTTTATTATTTTTCACTTTTTTTTATTTTATCCCTCTTATTTTTTTTTCAATGCGGACACCTGTTTATTTAATGTTACGTATATTTTAGATAAGATACAAAATTTTATTTTGAGTAGTTTTAATTTAAATTCAATTAATAAATGTATAAATTAACATGTGTTTTTACTTTAAGTTTTTAACACTAACCTTCACTACAGTTAGAAATTTACAGAAAATCAATATCAGGTAAGTAGGGGGTCTACGCAACACGGAGAAACATGGCAAGAGGTCTACGAGACAAAAAAGTTTAGATGGAAAAGGAGCTATACATACCATCAGTGTATTGCACCTTCTTGGCGTTTTCGTAAATAGTATAAATTGAAAATATCACAGATACTATATTTATCATATCGGCAATTGGCATAGTCCATCGTACCACAAAAGCTCCTAAAAAGTCGAAGAATACTAGGTTACCCTGGAAAAGATAGATACATTAGTAACAATAGTAAGCGAGTACCATCAAACCAAAAAAGAAATTAATATTTTAATGACGTGTTATTAGAAATTTGCGGGTTTAACAGCAACATTGATGTTGTTGTGCTTTTCTTGGCGGAGACAGAAATCTCAGAGTCTGCACCGATTACCCATCTTAACTTCCCAAACTACGAGGTGCACTCCAATCTGAGAAAGAACGACGGGGGAGTTGTGGCTTTTTTCCGCAGCCGTCTTTCCTGCTCCAGAGATGTTTCTTTGGAATCAGACCGGAAGGACATTCTGTGGCTTCGCTTCAACTCCAAAACATCACCCAAATTTATCTACTGCCTTTACCGCTCTCCCTCGAACCACAACTGGGATGACCTACTCGAATATCTCGCCGTCCAAATCGACTTCCCGAACATCAATCACCCCGCTTCAGAGGTAGTTCTTCTTGGTGATTTCAATGCCCATAATGAGCTTTGGTTGGGCTCAAACAAGACCGATGCAGCAGGTCGTGCAGTCGAAGCGTTCGCTCTTACTCAAGGGCTGACCCAGATGGTCACGAGCCCTACTTTTTCCCTGCGTCTCGTCACACGCCAGTAGCCTGCTGGATCTCTTTCTGACCACGCACCCTGTCCCTTACGGCACTGCTGTCCTGTCTCCCCTGGGTAACTCAGACCACGGTGTTGTGGACGTTAGGTTTCGGTCAGAACCCGCTGTAGCAGCAGAAACTCGTACAGGCCGCAAAACTTGGCATTACGGACATGCCGACTGGGAGGGGTTCAGAGACTTCCTCTCTAGCTTTCCTTGGAGAGATGTCTGTTTCACTGACGCGGATGCGTCGGCTGTCTGATCTTCGATAACCGAAATTATCCACGTCGGAATGGAGGAATACATCCCTCACACAGTGAAAGTTCCTAAACCAGGGTCCAACGGTTGGTTCAACAAATCGTGTGACACTGCTCGCCAGCAGAAGATCAAGGCCCACAGAACCTACTTACAAAACACCACTGTAGAGAACAGACAAGCCGACGTCGAGTCCAGAAACAATATAACGAAGTGGTTCGCAATGCCAAAAACCAGCACAGAGTAATGTAGGAGCGCGAAGGTAGTCGGTCTTTCAGGACGCTGGCCAAGCAGCTTGAAAAGAACCGGTATAACCGGACGTGCCACCGTCTTGGAAATATTTTAGCTGCCGGCGCCCCATCGACATTAGGATACTCCCAAATTTTCAAAAATATCATATGCCTACTTTTCGAGAAATCTATCGATGGAGTTCCGAAGCTACACCCTGTATGTTTACAAGTTTTTATCAAAATTCAATAAATAATCATGGGTGTTACATTTTATATGTCAGTTAGTATATGATATGAAATTTTTTATATTCAACCACTGTAAAATAGATTTTATTTTGGTGTACCAATTTTTATTCAATATGATTCTCATAGCTTTATTTTGCAGGACTTGTAATTTTGAGAATACAGCTTCATTGACAGTGAACAAGATAGTTGAACAATATAGTAAATGCGGTAGAATAATTGTATTATACATTATTTTTATATATACTCAGGTCACACATTAAACGATTAATAATTTCCACCATAAAAATTTTCGATACGTACCTGTTTATATCTGTCAACGTCAGCTATATAATGACCTTGAGCCATTCCTCTTGCCAAAGCTAAAATATTGTCTCCGGTCCTCTGTAATGAGCCTAATGGTATTTGTTCGATCGTATCAAACTTTGTGTGGTATACATAGCCATTAGATGACCAGGCGAAATCAAGGCCTAAAACCAACAGTCTTTGTCAATAGACGGCAATACAAAACATCAACATAGTTCCAGCTTGAATTTTGCTTAAAAATTTATTTCCCTCGATCAATTTGACGATCTGTTCGTTAATAATTTCTTCAAAGGTTTCCGTTAATAAACAATGGCCCAATCACTGTGTTCCCTAAAATGCCTGCCCAATTTTTGAGAGTACTGGACTTCTAGATCGACGCGAAGCAACCTCGACTATTCGGGAAGGCCGCTATGTGGCTCCCGATTCTTCTAGACTCAACTATATAAACCGGCGGCCGGGAGATGGAAGCAGAGTACAAATTACACCAGAACAGAGCGGAGTGGAGTACAGTGCAGTCAATAGCGACATAAGAATTAGCTAGACATAAATAGTGGTGTACATAAATGTTCTATCAAGTTAAATAGATTAGTGCATTTCTTTTTGTGGAATCCAGTGTTTTAATCCACACCCAAAAGAACCCAGAAAAACGCTACACTATTATCATTAATCGCTGAAGTCATTTGTTCACAAAGGATAGAAACCCTATACTTGATGAGGCTGAAATATATTTCCAGCAAGACAAAGACTTTTCAGATAAATGGATAGGGCGAAGAGGGCCTATAGAATGGCCTGGTAGATCTTTTGATTTGACGCCATTATAATTTTTTCTATGGGACCATTTGAAATCTATTGTGTTTACTTCCCAACCTGAAAGTTTGGATGAACTTCGTCAACGCTTGTTTTAAAAATGTCCGTCAGGAATTTGAACATCGCCTATATCATTGTTTGACCAATAACGGGAAACATTTTGAACACTTACGGAAATAAAAAGTGATATTTTAGTGTGTTTTTGTTTTCTATCTGAACAAATTTTCTTAAAAACGAATCGACCGATTTAAAAAAAAACAAGCGTCAAAATAAAGGACTTCGAAAGACCTTTCAAACAAGCTATTACTCGATACCCCTTGTCATTTAAAATTTTTGAGGGTGAAGTAGTTTTTGGCTAAAAAGTTGTCTCCCTTGACAAATCTTTTCACGTGTCTCGACGTCTTTCCTTTTAATCAGTGGTTTTTGATAAATCCGTGGTGGAAAGTTTTCAAATGAACACTATGTATATAATTACACATACAGCAGACGCTCGATAACGTAAACACGGGATAATGAAAACTTGCGCTAATGTAAACACAAACTTCGTTCTGTAGGATCAAACGGAACGCGCGATAACGTAAACAATATGTACGCTCGATAACGTAAACAACTCTCGGCGCACGGAAACAGCGCGACGGTAAAATGCTGAAGCCTCGATGATTTATGTCGGGCGTCGGGGAGTCCCCGATTTATGATGTAGAGTGTAGGGGATTCACCTCTGCGATAAAATACGACAAACTCGGTCAGTCGTATGATTGTTTGGGATACGTTTATACGTACGTATCTATTTCATTTTTGAACTTAAGTGAATACATTGCACGCGTTAATATATTTTACGACTATGGCATCCACATCCTATAACAGAAAGTGATTAAAGTTGAGTGAGAAAGTGAAAATCATAGACGAAGTTGCACTAGGTGCGGGAGTGACACAGTTAGCAAAAAAATATGGAGTATCGAAAGCAACAATCTGTAAAATTAAGCGTATGAAAACTCAAATTTTACAAAGAACGTGCAGGTCCGGGAAAAAGAAAAACTTTAAAAAATGCGAAGGCACCTAAAATGGAAAATTCCCTGTATAAGTCGTTTTTAAAACAACGGGAAAATCATGTCCCAGTTAGTGGCGGAGTACTTAAACAGAGAGCGAGACTGTTAAATGAAAAACTGAAATAAACTGAAAATTTCGTAGCTAGTGATGGCTGGCTTCAACGATTCAAAACAAGATATGGAATTCGACTGCTGTCTATATCTGGTGAAAAATTATCAGCACAACCACAATTAGTGCAACCATTCAAAGAAAAATTGATGAAAACAATTACCGAGCTAGATTTAAGAATGGAACAAATTTACAACACAGATGAAAGTGGCCTTTATTGGAAAATGTTACCAGAGAAAACCTCATTTGAAAAATCTGCCCCGGGAAGAAAGCCGGAGAAACAACGAATAACGTTTCTAGCCTGCACTAATGCTAATGGTTCGCACAAAATAAAGACACTGGTAATTGGGAAAGCAAAAAATCCACGCTCATTTAAAAATGTTAATATCCCTGTTGATTATGACTGTTCAAAAACCGCTTGGATGACTAGCAGTATATTCCTGAAATGGTTCCACAGGTGCTTTGTCCCTCAGGTATGACAATCAATTATCACAAATGCTCTATTCATAATTTGAAGATGTGTTTTCAATTTGTAGGTAAAAGGTTTCCTAAAACAACAGAAGCTTCCAATAAAAGCGCTGTTACTATTGGATAATGCACCAAGTCATCCTCCCGAGCAACAACTGAGGAGCAGGGATGGGTCAATTTTTGTCATGTACATGCCGCCCAACGTCACACGTTAATTCAACCGATGGACCAGAATATAATAAGACTCACCAAACTATACTATAGGAAGTTTCTAGTTTCGTCTGTATTATCAAAGAATCCTGAAAACTTATCTGAGGCTTTTAAAAAAGTAACATTACGAGAAGCTAATTTAGATTTACATATGGCCTGGAATGAACTTAACCAGCAATTCAATTCAAAAATGTTGGAACAATCTCTTTTGTACCAATAATGAAGATGATGAAGAAGACGATGTCTCCTTAAGCGTAACTAGAGAACGTTTGCGATCCAATAATGACAATGTTATTAGTGTGTTATTGGATGTTGTTGATTTATTGAAAACAGTGAATCCCAACATTGTTTGTACTCCTGCTGATACTAATTTATGGAACGAAGATAAGCAGACGAATGATGCTGATAAGGAGGAGGATATGGACAGTGACGATGATGAGAACGATACCATTGAAGTCAGAAGTGTAGTGACTGACGCGCAAGCTATACAAGTTTTTAACCAAGCTTTAGATTGGGCTGAAAGAAAAGAAGTTTCATACACGGATATTTTAGTTCTTCGTAAATTACGGGCGCAGGCATTGGAAGACAATGCTAAGCGCAAATTTACGCAGACAAAAATTGTTAATTATTTTTCTTCTAATTAAAAAAATACTTATTGCTGTTAGAATATTTGTTTATTTTGTTATAAATAGTATGTATTAAACGTTTCTTTTACGCTTCAGGTCACACAACATGACAATTATCATAGAAGTAGCAGACTAACTGTAGCTTGGTCCATCTTTTAAAACGCCAAAGTTTTGGTGAGAAGCATCTTAAAAATATGAAACTGCTTCGAACTGATTTTCACAAATTTTTGTAGTTTCTTACAAAAAAGAATTTTAAAAGATTATTAAATAACAGTAACGTGAGCCGTAGGATTTCAAAAGAAAGACTAAGGCAGTATTATCACCAAAAGCAACTCGGCGGAAGCTCCATTTCGACTCGAGCTACGTTGCTTTGTGGTAACTTTTGCGTCCCCAGCTCACTGAATAAAAAAAACGTCAAATATAGAACAAATATACATGCAACGAAAGATCTGAAGAAGGCAGCACCTTGTATGTGAACATATTTCTTAGGTCTGGTGAAGATTCGTACATTATAAACATGGTATTCAGAATTGTATCAAAAAATTCTCTTCATTTAATTTCGTGGGATTTGAGAGAACAGCTCTTTCGAAAATGTTCATAAACTACAATATGTACAGCGAGTGGCTAGAAAAGTGAATGATTTCAATGAAAAAACTGAGTGGCCAGCATCCCTGCAATAATTACACTGATCAACAGCCAAAAAATATCCTAAATAAAATCAACAAAATATTGCTATTTTTAATGTGCTAAAACCGGAATGAAACTTATTTTTTCAATATTAGTTCAAGTTTTAGAGATACGGTAATTATATGTTTTCCTGCTGTGACAGTGTTAATATACTGTAATTCACAAGAAAGCACGTGCTACATTTTTATATTCGGCAAGGAAAGATGATGTAATCGGCATGATTGTATTACGTTATACATACGTGTACATTGTATTGTTTTATATTAGCCATTTTTTCCTCAGTTGGCTGACAGCGTTCATGCAAGATGTCTCGAAAGTGTGTAAACAATCCAGATCAGTTTTGTTACGTGTGTGGTGATGTGACTTTTGCGTCTCAGAGACGGTCTATTACTCCACTAATAACAAAGGCATATCAGCTTTATTTCGGTTGTAAACTAGGTGATCAAGACAAACAGTGGGCACCCCACACCTGCTGTAATACGTCTGAGGAGCTGGTTAAATGGCAAACAACGGTCTATGCGCTTTGCTGTCCCAATGGTTTGGAGAGAGCCTACAAATCATATTAATGATTGTTACTTTTGCATGGTACCTTGTGTTGGACAAGCCACAGGTATGTCCAAGAAAAAAAAATCGATTATTAATTACCCAAAGATACCATCTGCGATGAGACCTGTGCTTCACAGTGACGAAAATCCTATTCCAAAACCCCCAGAATCCTACACTTGCGAATCAGAAAACGAATCAGATCATGGCGATCGAGTGATTCGTCAGGAAGAAGATATGCCATCAACGTCAAGAGATCCTGATTTTATATCGAGCACGTCATGCCACCAACCGCACAAAATAACACAGTCAGAATTAACTGATCTTGTAAGAGATTTAGAACTTCCAAAATGTAAGGCAGAGTTACTTGGATCAAGACTGCAGCAGTGGAACTTGTTAGAAGACGATGTTTCGGTGTGTGTTTTTCGTAAACGCCACAAAGACTTAGAACCATTTTTCAATATGGAGAATAACTTGGTTTTCTGCAGTAACATTAACGGCTTACTGGCGGCTTTAATATAAACTATAACCCAGAAGAATGGAGATTGTTTATAGACAGTTCAACATTGAGTTTAAAGGCAGTGTTATTGCATATTGGAAATATTTTACCATCTCTTCCTGTAGGGAATGCAGTTCACATGAAAGAATCATATGACAATATGAAGAACCTATTGACATGCATAAAATACGATGAGCACCAATGGCATATTTTTGGCGATTTGAAAGTTGTTGCACTTTTACTTGGGCTGCAGCTAGGCTACACAAAGTTTTGCTGTTTTTTGTGTGAATGGGACAGTCGGGCAAAGGCACTTCATTACACCAGACAAAATTGGCCTGTTCGTCAATTCCTAGAGCCAGGTCAAAAAAATGTACAGCATATGCCATTAGTAGATTCGAAAAAAATTTTATTACCACCACTCCATATCAAGTTGGGCCTAATGAAAAACTTTGTCAAGGCATTAGATAGAGATGGGTCAGCTTTTCAATACCTGCGTCAGAAATTTTCAAGACTAAGTGAGGCAAAGGTTAAAGAAGGTATTTTTGTTGGGCCACAGATTCGAAATATTTTGAAAGATACACAGTTTGAAAACACTTTAACAGGTATTGAAAAAACTGCTTGGAATGATTTCCGTCTGGTGGTCACTAATTTCTTGGGAAATAGAAAAGCTGACAACTATAAAACCCTTGTCAAAAATATGCTGCCATCGTATCAAAAGATGGGCTGTAATACGTCTCTTAAGATATATTTCCTACACTCACACCTGGACTTTTTTCCTGACAATTGCGGAGCCGTAAGTGATGAGCACGGCGAACGTTTTCATCAGGATATTTCAACAATGGAAAAAAGGTACCAGGGAAAGTGGAATCCTTCCATGCTTGCAGACTACTGTTGGACTCTTGGTAGAGATGCTCCAGAAACGATCCATAAAAGAACAGCAAAAAGACAGCGCATATAGTGATTCTTATAAGTATATGAATCTTGTTACTTTTTTTAATATATCCTTAAAAATAAAAAGTTTTTTTTCTAAACCGCAACTAATTTTTTTATTTCACTGTCATTTTTGAGATAATTATCTAGTGATAGCTCACCTGACAGATTGCCGAAATCCCTGAATATCCTGTAGTCAGTATCCCCTGGTATCACTCCACTTTGGAATATCTCTTGCGCCAATGATGAAGCGTAAGGATAAGGCACTTCCTCTGAATAAGTCTCCAGAATCCAAGGATGGTTAGGTCCAGCCTGAAAGAGGACTTCTCTTCCTCCTGCTCCACAAGCTTCCAGATTTATGAAAACCCGAACCTAAACAAACAAAATTATAATATATTCATATATACAATTAAATTGTTCATTGGGAATTGGCAAAACTTAAAGCTTAAGGAACTCTTTGGAAGGTAATCTCGACTTTCGACAAACTATAAAGCTGATGACTGAAGCACACTGAAGCAAATAGCTGAAAAGGATTTTATGAGGATCATTGACTGGTTTGATACTAAAATTTTAACAGTTAACTTCAAAAAAAACAAAATTTATTGCATTTACATCCTATTCAAAATTTTTACCTAACTTCGAACAAATTTCCGTTAATTATCATGGCCAAAAGACACTATGAAATATCTTGGAATATTTATGGACTCACATCTAAGGTGGGATAAGCATATTAAATATGTTATCAAAAAAATTAGAAATGTTGCCTATAAACTCAAAATGCTTGCTAACATTCTTACAGAAAGTTATCTGCGAATCCTATACCATGCCTTAGTTGAAACCCATATAATATACGGTATCACAGCCTGGGGTGCCGCCTGCAAGACATATATTTCTGACCTGAATATAGCACAAAAAACTGTTTTGAAAGCCATTTTCCATAAGCCAAAATTATATCCAACGAACAACTTATATCAAGAAACATGGATACTTGATACAAGACAACTTTATTTCTTACATGCCACCACCTTATACCATAAGTATTGTAATAAAAAGAAAAAATCCTATAAACACGAGCATAACACACGATTTCGAATAGGCTCATCTAATACCCAAAGACCACACAAAACATTATTCAAAAAATCATTTAAATTCTTAGCAGCTAAATTATATAATGTAGTACCAAACGAAATAAAGATACTTAATTTTGGAAAAAAATTTAGAAGAAAATTGAAAGACTGGGTTAGTAATGTGCAGCGAATGACTATACATAATTATATAGAAAACTAAAACTACAAAATTCCAATTACATTAATACCTTTTAGATTTAACAATAATTGTTATACACATATATGATTGATTGTTAGTTATTAAGATATAAACCACACACAGGCGATGCCTTCTGTGGTTTTTTCATATTTATTTGCCCATTTTTTGTATTTTGGCGAATAAATATTATTATTATTATTATTATGTTGTCATCTTCAGCAGTCGTCGGTGAGGTTGCAGCTAAAAGGTGTTTTAAAGCAAAAGCGTGGATGAGAACACTTGTCACAATTATACTAAGTGACACATAAATCCGAACACCCAGTTTAAATGGTTTTATTTTAGTAAAATTTTGTATAAGTACTTAATGAAGCATAATAAGTGAATGATAAAAATTTCAAAATGATTGCGCTGCTTTAAAGCTCTTTGACCTTTAATAATGTGTGGATGCACCCTGATGTGCTACGCATTCTCCAACGCGCCTAGGCATGCTTCTGATCAGGCGGTCAATGTCCTCCTGTGGTATCTCATTCCAGGCAACCACCAACTCCTCCCGAAGTGCTTCTAGAGTCTGCAAATTGAGCAATCTCCTACCCATCATATCCCACACGTGCTCAATTGGGGATAAGTCGGGAGATCTTGGTGGCCATGGTAACAATGTGACATCATTATGTTGAAAGAAGTCTATTGTGACTCTTGCAACATGTGGTCGGGCATTATCTTGTTGGAAAGTTGGATCGGCCAGGGTGTCAAGATAGGGTAAAAGATGGGGTTCTAGAACTTCGTGGATATAACGCTGCGCGTTCATGTTACCTCTGATGAAGATTAAAGGTGACCTGGAACCATAAGCTATAGCACCCCAAACCATAACTCCAACAGTGTGATGAACATGTCTTTCAACAAAAAACTGTGGATTCCTCCTTTCACCACGTCGCCTTCTAACCATGGCACGACCATCGTGCATACCTAAACAAAATCGAGATTCGTCACTAAAGACAATACTGTTCCATTCCTGATCCCAGAGTGACCGTTGTCTGCAAGGCGATTACGTCGGTGTTCTCGAGTTAAAGGGAGGACCCAGTGTGGCCGGTATGAAAACAAGCAAAAACTTCTCATTCGTCGGTAAACACTTCGCATGCCAATAGGTCTTCCGTGTTCTGCAAACCATTCATTTGCAATGGACCTGGTAGTGGAGAAACGGTCCCTTAAGGCCAATAATCTTAGGCGGCGATCTTCACGGTCTGTTGTTCTACGGCGGCGTCCAGTGCCCCTTGCTCTTTGCGTACGGCCTTCTCGAAGCCATGCCTGACAACACCTAACCACAGTGTCTACACTTCTTTGCACTCTAACTGCAATTGCCCGAAAAGAAAGTCCAGCTTCCCGAACTACCACTATACGGCCCCTATCAAACTCACTAAGTTGACGAAATCGTGCAGGTCTCCGTACTCTAGGCATCGTAACCGATCGTAAAGGATGTCAAGAACCAAAATCCGCCAACGTTGATTCTTTACTGCGGATGAAATATTCATTTTTAGAGCGTTAGTGAATTGAGAAAAAGCAGTGTAAAAACCGGAATGTCCAACTGATAAGGCTGAAAATTTTTTCACTTGTAATTTACAGTAAGATAAATACATTCACCAACTTTTATTAAAATAAAACCATTTAAACTGGGTGTTCGGATTTATATGTCACTTAGTATATAAAACCAAAAGACCGGACACATTGGGTTTATTGTTAACACATACCTAGGTGTTACAACCATATATCAATGAACCCGAACAAACTAAAAATTGGAACACATACTCAAGTTATTAAAAAACCGACACTACAATTTGGGGAAACGGTAAATTCTTTTTTAAACGGCAGTGAATCTGCTTTTCTGTCACCTGTCACCTCGTGCAACAAGTACACCGTTTAAAAAAATAATTTACTGTTTCCCCAAAAAGCAGTGTTAGTTTTTTAATAACTTGAGTATATTTTCCAAATTTTAACTTGTTTGGGTTTATTGATACATGATTGTAACACCTAGCTATGTATTCCGTCGTTAACAACAAACCCAATGTGTCTGGCCTGTGGTTTCATAATTGTAACAAGTGTTCTCATCCACGCTTTCGTTTTAAAACACCTTTTAGCTGCAACCTGACCGACGACTCCTGAAGATGATAGCATAGTTTGTCGAAAGCTCGAGATTACCGCCAAAAGAGTTCACTAAGCTTTAAGTTTTGACTATTCCCAAAAAAGAATTGAATTGTATTTTTTTGCCCACTGGTCATTGGCAATGGCAATGACTACTGCTCGTATATATATATATATAAAGCTTCCGCCTTTTGTTGGGTACTTCGACAAAATTTAAGCACTTGCCGAATCACTTCAGATGATGTGATTTTCAGAATGTTATGTAAGAAATTGTTAAACCGACCAGAGGCAGTTGAATAAACTATATTTTAATTAATGGGAATTTAAATTACTGTCTTTTTGTTGATACAGTTGTTATTCATGAAAATGTGGGACATTTCCAGGAATAAACGTTTGGAAAGGTGTTTTTCTTTATCAAGAACTTTGATACTTGTGTAATTCATAGAATGCCCTGTTATGTTATGCAACGTTGGCACACGCCCACAATTCGTTCCATCTTTCTACACAGACATTGACAACCTTCGGCCTTCTGTCAAAGGGTTCATCTCACTCATTATTCCATGACCACCATTTTGTGCAATCATCAAGTGGCTTCACGATGTAATGCTTTAATGTTTTTTAAATAATTTTTAATCTGTTTTTAACTTGTTCTTGTCATATTTTATATAATTTTGACCATTGTACCATCTATCCAGCTCTCACCATGTTACTGGACGTTTCCCTCATCCTATACGTAAACAACAATTAGCAACATCCTCACATACATACAAGTTGAGTCAATTTAAATTCATTTTACACTATTGTTGCTACTGTTATCATTGTAATTGCAGCTCCTGATGATGATGGCAAAGTCCATTGAAAGCTAGAGAGAATAAAAAAAGTATAAAGAGTCCTCTTTGCTTAAATTTTGTCAAAGTACCCAACAAAAGGCGGAAGCTTTAATTTTTCACCTAACTGGTCTAGACGACAATGACCACGTCTCAAAATATATATATATAATATTAGTATAATAATATTAGCCTCACCTCTTTGGCCCATCGGTGCTGCGTTATGAACCCGTGTGATGCTGGCATGAAGTTTTCTTCTCCTCCGTTAAATAGAAATATAACGTTGTGCCTTAGTATTCGATTTGATTTTGATAGGACTCTCAGTATCTCCAACATTACTGCGCAGCTTGCTCCGTCATCACTTGCACCTAAGATATACAGATGTGAAAATAATTTTGCAGCTAGACGAGGAATTCAATGCAGCAATACGCTTGCTAAAAAGCATTTGCTTACTAACAAGACTGCTCGTTGGCAATCATCAGCACTCTCTAGGTGGGACCACGGACGAAAGAGAGCCCTTAAGGTCGACAGAAGTTCGACATCACAAGTGCCATCTATCAGCACAATCGACCGCTGCGAAGTGAATAAAGCATCCCACAAACCTGCGCGAAATAATCGCGGCGAAGTATTCGCAACGAAATTCAGGGCGAAATTCGCAATCTGTTTCGCCTGTTTATTCATACCAAAGCGTCTTATTCGCTCCGCGAACGTGAAGGTTTCGACAGGTTGCGTACATTTTATTTTTGCCTTTTGCAATGAGCTCGTCTTCAGAAGAAGAGGAGGCCTTTCTATTTCTTGCTTTAGAAGAGGAACAAAATGCACGGTAAGTTATGTTTATTTAACGCCTTTTGATAGTTGGGTATGTATTAAGTTTAACGAAGTACATAAAACAAATATTTTCAATTTTGTTTAGGAAACGAAGGAAGTGGGTACATGATATTAACTCGGAACGAAATAAATTTGGGGAATACCATACCTTGATGTCACAACTTCGGCTGGATGAACAGCGCTTTTACGTATATTTTAGAATGACTCCAGAGTGTTTCGATGAAATATTGAACTTGGTGAAAGATGAAATACGAAAATCTGACACAAATTATCGTGAAGCTATTTCGCCAGAAGAACGACTTGCTATTACACTCAGGTAAAAAAAATTATATGTATTAAAATTAGTAAGCTTATCGAATACGAAAACTTCAGGGATCGTGAAATAAATATTTTATTGTAATAATTGGACCACATGTTGCCACTAGGATTAAATGTTGCTAAATAATTCGAGGCAGAATTTGCCTCCTCTGTTGGGTATATTATTGGAGTAAACCCAGTGCCGCTTGGAAAGGACTACATACTACTATCATACATACTTGCAGAATTCTGGGTAGACGCTGAAGACATTTCTTCAATATGTTCAAATTCTTCGTGCGCTATTAATTCGGCTATTTTTAGTTTTATTCGGGCTTGACGCTTTAAGGGAAGTGTTTTCACAGTCTGTGCATGTGCCAAGAAAAGTGAATCAATGGCCTCGTTCTCTTTTTTAGGTTTTTTACCTTCAAAATAATTAATGAGCTGTTGTACAGACGGAGATGGTGGTTCATAGCGTTTTCTGCTCGTTTTATATTTTGGTGTAGTTGCAGTCTGCGGAAAGGTGTGCCCTGGAGTAGTCACTGCAGTAGTGTTCAATGAAGAAGGTGGTGCTGTCTGTGTTGCCGAGGCGTTCTGTGCATCTTCTGCATCTACATCAGCATTTCCATCTTCTCCATGGCCGCGGTCTTCCAAATTTTCGGTTTCTACATTTCCAGCCCTTTCCTGATATATATTTGAGTTAAATTCGGCAGTCTCATAATGTATGACGTCAATATCTTTCACATTAGACGACGTTTTGGCAAATGCCAAAAAAGGACGGAAAAATTCCATGTAGTCAGCCCACTGCCATTTTTTTATGTTGCCCACTGCTTGGACGGTCTTTGGTTTGGTAGATTTTATATATTTCGCAAATGTGTCTCTGATATTCTTCCACCTTTTTTTTACTTCATCACCTAAAAACGATTTTTTTTATAGATTCCTTGCCACCGGTGACACCTTCTATACCATTGGGCATAGCTTTCGAGTTGGCTTTACAACAGTGAGTGCAATCGTAACCGAAGTCTGTGAAGCGATATGCAGACATATGGAGCATATATATTTACCAGAACCAACAGAGAATATATGGAAAAAATGTGCTGAAGAATTTGAAAATAGATGGGGATTTCCCAATTGCATTGGCAGCGGGGACGGTAAACATGTAACAATCAAGAGACCTAACAACAGTGGCTCCAATTACTGGTGCTATTTACATAAATATTCAATCATTCCGTTTTTGCTATTGCGAATTTTTGAAGAACGGCGTCAAAAACGCGGTCAAAGGCGAACTGAAATACGCCGCGATAAAAACGCTGGAACAATCGCATTCGCTTCGCACAAGTCTGAGCCTGTCCGTAAACCGCCGCGTTTTAATCTGATCGCGAATTCATCGCCGCGAAATTTTCGCAGCCAAAGCGAATATTTCGCGCCGGTTTGTGGGATGCTTTATTCCTCTATTTGATATTAAATAATTATGTTTCAGTTCGAAATTACAGATATAAAGTGATAAACATTAGTGTAATTGTGTCTAAATATAGGATTTGTGGAAGATTTAACGCAGATAAGTTCAGTTTTCCATCATAAAAATCTAGATATACTTTTGATCATTATCAAAATATGAATGAAATACGAAGCCCGTAGAAATTGTGTAACTACTTTGCACGATAATCACAATAAAATTTGCTGCGCAAGTAATTCAATAGCCCTATATCACAGTGTAGAAGTTTATCATATACCTGTGTATGAAATTCACAATGGCCGATATGTAAGTAAACAAGATGACTGTATTGTGTTAGTTATATATTCTTCACTTCGTCTATACAATACATAAGAAAATAGGTTGGTTGCAATAAAGTAGAATCACGTAACAGAATAGTTTTATAGTTGACAAAAACTGAATCTTGCACTGATGCAAATGTCCTATAGCGGCTGCAAGAGGCTTACACTTTTGTTGTATAACTATTACCTGCAGCCCTTATACAATCTCTTAAATGACTGAAGTGTCCTATTAGGTGTGCCCATTCCAATTGTATAGCTGCTCACATTAAACCATATAAGACAATTGAGGATGGTAAAAAACTGATAATGTTATGTCCCGGAGTCACAACGTACATTTGACATGTTCCTGAATAATAAAGATCACAAGAATGCAGGTTCATATCAGCGTGTAGTTGGCTTCATCTATAACTGGGCACTTTGAAAAGAATTTTGAATGTCTACACTAAAATATGAACTCGACACATTGATCGATATCAATAAAAATGCAGACCGCTGACCTGTTACGTCATCATTCTAAAAGCATCATCAGGCATCAATTGGATAGTCTGACAATGCTTCTGAAAATAAAGGTAAAATGTTATCGCATTTTCATTGTTTGGCAGTGTGATACAAATTGTCAACGTCCAAGCTAAACATCAACAAACGTTGCGTACAACTCTTAGTTCAAACGCACTGGAAAGCACCTCAGGGGATCAAGACTCATCTTTCATAACACGTAGAAAATCATTTATTCTATACTTGACTGTATATTTATTTCACATATTACACTGGTCAACACTGGTTTTGCCACACGAACTTTGACAGATAATTTTGTTTTATCAGTCTACCCTCATTATTACATGACAGCTGTCATATGTCTATTAGCCTCATATTTGTTGTGATACGGTAATACTCATAACTAGTACTACGGCAGTAAATTAACAGAAACACTTACAAGTAAATCCTTATAAAAATATTTGTTGTTGAATTTGAACACTTTTTTGTGATTTATCAACCCTGTGAATATGTCGAGGAAGTGTAATAATGATCCTAACTCTTTTTGTTATGTCTGCGGAGAACTAACATTCAAAAAACAACGACGAAATTTTACGAATCTTGTGTTTGAGTGTTATCACCAATGTTTTGGTTTTTCTGTCGCCCATCAAGACAAATCCTGGGCCCCTCATGTCTGTTGCATAACGTGTGTGAAAAATTTAACTGACTGGAAGAAAGGTGCACGACCTATGCCGTTTGCTGTACCCATGATATGGACTGAACAGCGAGATCACGATTCAGATTGCTATTTTTGTCTCACAGACATAAAAGTTATAAATTACAAGAAAAAAACCACAGTTATTTACCCTAACTTATCTTCGGCTATAAGACCAGTCTCTCATTGTAAAAAATTGCCAGAACTAATACCAGTTGCAACTACGTCTGTTGAGAACAATTCACAACCGTCCACTTCAGGTGAATGTGTTGACGAGGACGATGACTTTCAGTTAAAAGGAATTGTAAACGAGCCACATTTGATAACTCAAGGAGAACTAAATGATTTGGTTCGGGATTTAAATTTGTCAAAAAAGCAGTCAGAACTATTAGGATCACCTCTAAAAGAATGGAATTTGCTACATCATAATACAAAAGTTAGCTATTTTCGAAACCCTGATCAACACTTCAGAACGTATTTTTCTCAGGATGGAGATTTGGTGTTTTGCAATAACATAAATGAGATTATGAAAATATTGGACATAGATTTTGATCTCTCTCAGTGGCGTTTATTCATTGATTCTTCGAAAGCAAGTCTAAAAGCAGTGTTATTGCATAATGGAAATAAGCTTCCGTCTGTACCTCTGGCCCATGCTGCAAATATGAAAGAAACCTATGAAAATATGAAACTTTTACTTGAAAAAATAAATTACAGTACATATTCCTTCAAAATCTGCGGTGATCTTAAAGTTGTTGCACTATTACTTGGACTTCAGCTGGGTTATACAAAGTTTTGCTGCTTTTTATGTGAATGGGATAGCCGAGACAGAACTGATCACTATATAAAAAAAACATGGCCTACGCGTGCATCGTTAGTTCCTGGGCAAAAAACGTAAAGTATTTACCCCTTGTACAGCCAAATAATGTGCTTCTACCACCATTGCATATCAAATTAGGATTAATAAAAAATTTTGTGAAGGCAATGGATCGCAATGGGAGTGGATTTTTGTATCTAAAAGAAAAATTCCCTAAAATAAGTGATGCAAAGATAAAAGAGGGTATTTTTGTTGGCCCTCAAATTAGGGAGTTAATAAAAAATTCAAGATTTGAAGAAAAATTAAGCGATTTAGAAACATCTGCATGGAAGGCTTTTAAAAATGTTGTTTCAAATTTTTTGGGTAACCACAAGAGTGACAGCTACAGAGAGTTAGTTAGCGAGCTATTATTGTCATATCAAGCATTGGGTTGAAACATGTCACTTAAGATCCATTTTTTAGACTCG